GGCTTTCATGCTTAAGATGGGACTAGAATTCACAATCCCCTGGTTTCTAGCCTGCTGCCTTAACCACGAGACCAAACTGGCTCTCTAAGCTTCGATTCTTAGATATGCTATAAAATTGAACTGCTCTAATAGAAAGTGCGCATCAACCTTCTTCGAGAGAAAGAATTGGAGAAATACACTCCTTCATCTATCGATTGTACCTTCCAACCATTAGAAGTTAAAACTATTACAGGCCCTGCCTGGCCTCATCCAGAGCAGAGGACATCAAAAACTCTCAGTAGTTCTGGGGGGAAATGAAAAATCCACTTCTTTCCATTACTGGCCATCGTTTATTGGAAATTCCTCAGCTTTTAACTGTTTCTCGAAGCTATTATTTCAGCCTTTGGGTTATCGGCTTCCCATCTCAAGGCAGAGGAGGTAAAACCACCTGAATCCTGAAAGCATTTTGGTCTCAATCATCAAAATTGTAATTGAAAGTCCTGGATGAGATCAGGATAAAATACACATCGCAAGGAGATATATATATATATATATATATATATTTGCTCAAATCCTGAATTTACAATGTTCGATAATATGTACTCTCAGGGCTGTGCTCTTCCTCGGTTTCATATTATGTTTTTACCTGTCAGGCTGTTTTATCTCTCTCTCTCTCTCTCTCCTGTCAACTGAGGAAGGTTCTCTATTGCAAGCAGGAAAGGCAAACATCTATTATGAATTTGCTGGTTCTGAATTTCTCAAATGCGCTCAGATATTCCTGATAACTGCATATGAATTTTGCTGTTGTGGGGAAAGGCGTGCATCGTTTCCTTCTCGCTTTCTTATTAAGGAAATCAGCGAAAGCAAAATGAAAATATTTGTGTGCTGCTTATCCTCAGAAGGGGAGGAAAAAAAAAGAATTTGTGTGGCAAATGTTCTTTCAAAGGAGAAGGGAATTGTAGCACAATTCTGATGCGTAGAAGTTTTCTGGTATCTAGTTAGGGATACACCTAGTTTTCTGGCACCTAGTTAGAGAAGGAGACCTGGTTTTCATCGTACATTTGTTTTATTATCATTTTTATCCCACGTTTATTACCTTTTATAAGTCAACTCAAGGTGGCAAACATACATAGTACTTCTTCCTCTTCTTTTCCCTCCCACAACAACAGCAACCCTGTGAGATGAGTTGGGCTGAGAGTGTTCTGACCCATGCCCTTTTCCAACAAATCAAACACAATCCAAAAGGAACACAAACCTTATAATGTTTTTGCAAAATAATTAGCTGTGATAAACACAAGCCTTGCCAAACTGTGCGAGACTTGCCAAAAGATAATAGATAAGAAATAATTTGCAATACAAGAATCTTCAAAGACAAACTCAGGATACTGGAATGTCCACGAGGCTGGAATTTCAAAACGTCGTTGCCTTCTGCAAAGTACGTTCCTTTCACAGCTGGCTTTTATCTTCTTGAAGGAGGGGCCATTACCTTGCAGCCTTCCTCCCGAGTCGCCCGTGCTGTTGTAGCTGCTCTTTCCTACGAGCAATCCTGCGCGCATGCGCACTTAGCCCAGGCTCCTCGGGAACCTCCTCATCGCTGCTGCCAGCCCCCACAATCTCTGAAGACAGCACTCCCTAATGGTCCTGGCCCCTCATCTCAGTCCTCGCTCTCCTCAGCCATCCACACCTGCTGCCGGCTAACCACAAAAGAGAGAGAGAGTAACTGGCCCAAAGTCTTCCAATCAGCTTTCCATGCATAAGGAGGAACTAGAATTCACATCTCCTGGTGATGGGCCCAAAGTCACCTAACTGGCTTTCATGCATAAGGTGGGACTAGAACTCAACACCTCCTGGTTTCTTGGCCAGCATCTTAACTCCTATATAAAAATGGCTTCTTTTAGTTGGTCTGTGGTCTCATGGTTTCTCCCAGTGGTGGTATTCTACCTGTTTGGCCCAGTTCTGCTGAGCTGGTAGTGGCGATGAGCAGTGGAGATCTGGTTCTTTCCGCCACTCTGCTGTTGGGCCCACCCACCCATCTGGGCTGCCATAGTCACTTTTATCCTCTGCTTTTGAAGCACAGCTGCTTTGCGCGGCACAGTAGAGTGCTGCGGGGCAGCTGGTGAAGCAACTGGGAGAGTGCAGGCTTGCAGGAGGTGAGCTGGAATGCCTCTGCACCTACACAAAGTGTGTGCATGTGCACAAAGCACGCCCACCAAGCCACGCCCACCGAACCGGTGGTAAAACTTTTTGAATCCCACCACTGGTTTCTCCATTTTTCAAACCATTCCCATGAGGGCCTCGTGCACAAACAAAAATAACGGTCGGCGTCCAAAAGCAGGCCAAACTACAACTTATCCATCCAAAGTGCCCAACCCCATTTTAGCCTGGCCCAGAGGCTGAACGATCCTCATCGAAGTGTTGATATTGATGGAAATACAGAGGAGCTCCTTGCTTTTCCATTGGATCTGGGTCTCCAGGAGGGTTTGTGGCCTGTTGGCCTCTGGCCCCTCCAGCAACTGAATCAGAGGAGGAGGCGTCGGAGTCAGGGTCAGCCTCAGGGAAACCTGGGAGCTCTGAGGGGGAAGAGGGAGCTGGCAGAGAGAGAGAGAGAGACAGGGAGAGAGAGAGAGAAGCAGAGCCTGGGCTGTCCATCAGCCCTCAAATGGAGAGTCCACAGCCGCCAGGTCTGGAGGTGGCTGATGGGGAAGAGGAGGAACAGCTGGGCCCAGTGCCTGACGCAAAGATGCACAGAAGGCAGAGGAGAGGAGAGCAGTGGAAATCTATGGGCCGGTCCCTGGGACAGAAAAGCCACCGCTGCTAGCGAAGCCCCACCCTAGCTCTGGGGATAAAAGGCAGGGGGCAGAGATGAATATAGATATGGCAGACAACTACTCATCTCCCTGCCGGACAGACTTGTTAACCCGGGGTGAGAGAGAGAGAGAGAAATTTTTTTTTGCCAGGGCTGCTGATGCTGCTAATAAAGGAATCATTGATTTAAATACAGAGGGTTTGTCATGTTTGGGGAGCTGGGTCAGAGCGGGATGGTTCCATGGGGCCTAGATTGGGGACATCCGTGTGTCTTTCTTACCCTCTGGAAACTGTGGAAAATAATCATTCTCCACCAACGAGAAGCATTTTTTTCGCTCTTCGTTAGCTCTCCGCCCGCCCTTTGCTCTCTGTCTGATCAAGGCTGATTTTAAATCACGCCAGCCGTGTCCTTTCCAATTGATCTCTCCACTTTCCATCATCGGTGTCTATTTAAGTGAGTTGGACTTTAAGACTTGTGTACGAATCCACCCGTCCGCTTTGGAAAATTCTTAGTAGAGACAAGGCGATGATTGGCAGGCCTTCCTGTTCCCTCTAATGGCATTCCAAGTGCATTAGTGAAAAGCATTGATTATTTTTGTTTTCACCTGCCAGCAACTTTCTATTCCAAGCTAATCCAAAAGTAATTTAATTGCATGGGTGGCCCCGATGTTTCATCGGGGTCAGTTGTTCCATCTTGGGCTTGGAAGAGGCGTGTGAGGCTGCCACAGTCTTCTAAATAGAATTCCCCATATAGCATAAATAAAAAGGTGTGTATAAGCAATGAGAGGCTTAGCAGGTACGCACAAGGTGCAGTGGAGAACATTTCTCTCTCTTTCTTTCTCTTTCTCTCTTTTTATTTTTCTTTCTCTTTCTCTTTCTTTCTCTTTCTCTTTCTCTCTTTTTTTCTCTTTCTCTCTTTTTATTTTTCTTTCTCTGGCTTTCCCTTTTCTTTCTCCTTTTCTCTCTCTCTTTCTCTTTCTTTATTTTTCTTTCTTTTTCTTTCTCTTTCTCTCTTTTGCTTTGTCTTTGTCTTTCTTTTTTTCTCTCTCTCTTTTTCTCTCTCTTTCTTTTTCCTCTTTTTTTCCCTCTGTGTTTGTCTTTGTCTCTCTCTTTCTCTTTCTCTTTCTTTCTTTCTCTTTCTCTTTCTCTTTCTCTTTCTCTTTCTTTTTCTTTCTTTCTCTTTCTCTTTCTCTCCTTTTTTCTCTTTCTCTCTTTTTAATTTTCTTTCTTTTTCTCTCTCTTTCCTTTTCTCTCTCTTTCTTTTTCCTCTTTTTCTTTCTCTGTGTTTATCTTTGTCTCTCTCTTTCTCTTTCTTTTTCTCTCTTTCTCTTTCTCTATCTTACTCTTTCTCTCTTCCCCTCTTTCTTCCCCCCCCCTCTCTCTTTCTCTTCCTTTTTCTATTTCTTTCTCCCTCTCATCTATTTAGATTTTTCATCATCCATGTCATGCTTCTCCCAAAGGCACTTTTTTTCCCAAAAGAGAACTGGAATGTCTTGGTTTTTTCCCCTTGAAACTGTTTCACTTCGCATCCAGGAAGCTTTTTCAACTTCTGAACTAAAGAAGCTTCTTGGATGTGAAGCAAAATGTTTTCAAGGAAAAAAAAAAACCAGGAAGTCTTGTTGCCTTTTGGAGAAAGCACCTTTGGGACTCTCTTTCCCTCTCTCGTATTTTTTATTTTTTCAATTGAACTGATATACTTCATCATCGTTAGCTGTGTCAAGGATCCACTTATATAAAATATAATTGTGATTGTGATTGTTGCTTTTGGTGCCATCATCAATATTATTCCTAAGGCACATTGGGGTGGCCTAGTGATGGAGACACTCGCTTCCCACTCAGAAGGTTGAGGGTTCAATCCTAGGTAGCAGCAGATATTTCTCTCTCAGGGTGCAAAGAAAAAATACTTGCTGTGAACCCTGCATGGCATTCAGCCAGTAAATGCTCAGCTCCATTCACTCATCCTGACTCTACCCCAAATTTGGGTTCTACAGGTCATAAAAAGCTAGCAGAGTATAACTCCAGAATGTTACCGATGGTTCTTTTTTTAAATGGGTGTGGCTCTCCAGGTTTGTAAATCCTTTGCAGAACATTCATTGTCTCCAGAACCAGATTATTCTTTTAATTTTCCCTATTCCTTTCTCTCTCTCTCTCTTTTTTTTTCCTTCTAGCTTTAGTCACCAACAGACCACCTCAGCCGTTGTATCCAGTAGAGAATCAGACGAGTCTTCTCGAAGTCCAGTTGGGTAAGTTCCTTTCTGAGAAATGAAACCAGACCGAACTGTGGCTGATACCCATGTTTCTCCAAAAAGAAGGCCAGGTCTTATTTTCTTTTGAGCCTTGAAAAAATGCCCAGGGCTTCTTTTTGGAGGGTTCTAATTATTGACTCATCTCGCGGCAGTTGTGGTTTGCCGGCTACCTGTGCAGATGGCAGCGGAATCGGACAGTGGGGAAGAACGGGGACCAGTTAGGGAGTCTGGAGAGGACTCAGACGAGGGTCCTGCATCCGATGCAGAGATGGGGCCAGGGCCATCTGGGAGTGGGGTGCTGACTCTGGAGCCTCCAGAGTCTGGCAGCAGCATGGCAGAGGAACAAGGGAAGCCTGTTCCCAGTGTGCATTTGCACAGAGCTGCCAGAAGGCAAGAGCAGCTAAGGCAAAAGGGGAGACTCGGGAGTAAGGCTTGGAGTTAATTGCCCTCCCCTAAGGTATAAAGGAAGTACAAAGGTAGAGAAACCTTTGCAGGAAGCAAAGTCGTTCGCTCTGTTCAGATTAAACCTTGAAGCTCTGTGTGGACTTTATACTTTGGTTGCTTTTTTCCAGTTCATTTGGCACTTTAGTTGTTGGCAGCAATTCAAAGGAGAGAAAGGTGGGTGCTTATCTCAAGGGACTGTTTGTGACTCATCACAGGCTGGGAATGAACATAATTCCCAGCATTGAAATAAAACAAGAGTTGTTTTAACTAAGCGTGTGCTTAATTATGGTCTCAGGAAGCCTTGGTCAGAACACCAACAGCCCTGCCCAGCAGGAGCCCGCTGACGGCCCATGTCTTCTGCGGCCACTTGCCACCACTTGCACGCATTGCCCTGGCCTCCATTTCACCTTCAGATGCCTTCTTGAAAGCCCTCTGCAGGCGATAATAGAGCTCTGGATCGGTCCGGCTGGGGCCATGTGTATGAGTGGCAGCAAGAGGCTGCAGAAGAAGGCGAGACAGGAGTCGGGGTGTACGAGGCCTGGTAAGTAGGGCAGCTCAACCCATCCCCACCCTAGCTTATTTTTTTACCTGTGTGCCTTGCTGCACCCCCTGCACACCTGGGTGGGTGGGGGTCTTAATTAGGGCTAATTTTGTGAGTGGGGCTTAATTTGATCGCATGCGCTGAAAAACGTGACAGGGCTTCTTTTCAAAATCGTCTTTTTTGGAGAAACACGGTTTTACTACACACAAATCAATAAGTTACTTTCTCATTTGCAATGGGGGAGAGGGGTTCTTCCAACCCTGGTTTCAAGCGGGGGGGGGATTTGCATAGGATTGGAGAATGGGGCTAATTGTCTGAGGTTCATCCAAGGACATGATGGATGGATGGATCCAAAGATCGATGCATTAGCTCTTGAAACGTTGCAATGAAACAACCGCTTTTCAGGTTACCTGAGAGAAATGTTGATAAATGCAATGTAATAGGGGAGATTGGGATTGTATTTATAACATTATGCACGATGTGTAGGAAACAGAAGTCTTTCTGCCCATTTTTGTACATCCTTGACTTACGAACACAACTGAGCCCAAAATTCCTCTTTCTAACCTAGGCAGGTTGAACTTTGCCTCATTTTACAACCTTTCTTGCCATTATTGTTCAGTTAATCACTGCAGTTGTTAAGTTAGTCACACGGTCATTGTGGATGTAGCTTGACTTTGTCAGAAGGGTGCAAAAGAGGCACCAGGACGTGCAACCATCATAAATACGAGTCAGATGCCATGCATCAGAATTTTGGTTGCATGACCTATGGGATGCTGTGACACCATTGTAAGTATATAAACGGTCATAAGTCGCTTTGTTCAGTGCCATTGTAACTTTAAACAGTCACTAAGCGAACTGTTGTAAGTGTCAGGATTCCGACACTTAACCCCATTTAAATCATGAGTCTCTAGCCAAACTCCAAAAAGATTTATTGGGAGTTAAAAGATGCGGCATTGCCTGGATATATCATAATTCATATTCTCCAATGGGACACATCCATAGCCAAGAGTCATCAGTCATACTCTCCACAGTTAGAATTTTGTGCGGCAGAAACTTCTGTCAACTTGTTACTATCTTTGAAAACATTTATGGAATGCACTTTTGGTTTGCAAGCTGCCGCACTGCTCCCCCCTCCCTTTCTGTTGGCAACTCTAAATAGACCATAGAAATATTTTATGAGTTGACAGTAAGTCGAGGACTTACTAATAGAATATGAGTCATTCTAGGTGACACTAGTTGGGTGGAATTCCTCTTTCTTTAAGTACCACTTAAAGAATGCCTCCCCGCAAAGTGTGAGGTTGCTCGCGTCCTCAGGTTTTTTATTTTTTATTTTTTCCAGTTTCTGAATTTTGCAGACCTGCCATATTTTTCATCAGTGTGCACATGACAGCCAAAGATAACATCTTGTGTGTGTGTGTGTGTGTGTGTGTGTGTGTGTGTGTGTGTGTGTGTTTATTTTCCGTTTTGTTTACAAGCCATTTTTGTAAACGAGAAACGAGTTAAGCCTGCAGGATTACTATTGTTTGCTTGAATCTACTTTGCATTCAGACATTTTCAAGACACATTTGCAAAAATTGACACATAATTAAAAAAAATTTTTTTTAAAAAAAGAGTGAATTCCAAGTGAACAATTTTTCAGTTCAGTTCAGTGCAGATACCTGAAACTGGATAAAACAATTTGGTTTCCACTCCCTGATAGATCTTCGATTAAATAGTTTTAAGAGTAGATTAAACCAATTAGTGTAAGAGAGTCTTTTGTCGTTACTTCTTAACAGTGAGAACAAGTAGAGATTTCTTGTTTGGAAGTGACTAAGAGTTACAACTCTTAGGATTTACTTATTGGATTTGAAGATATTTAAATACAAGACAGCTCACACTGATTATTATTATTATTATTATTATTATTATTATTATTATTATTATTATTATTATTATTATCATCATAAAAAACAATGACTACATAAACAGTGTGTTATCTGGGTATAGTTAATTTTGAGAAATAATAATGATATTAATAACAATGATTCATAATATTAATAATGATCACATAATCATAATAATGTTTGCTTATCCATTTTATAAGTCCTTCCCTATATAATCATTCTCCTATGCTTTTAAATTTCTAACTTCTGTTTCTACCAGTTAGCCATTGGTAAAATAAATCCCATGTTAAAAAAATATTCAGTTTCTTCTTTCTCCTTAATTTTAAGTGTTAATCTATCCATTTGTAGCTCGCACTGTCCTTAACCTATACTTGCAACTTGTGTTTAACGGTATTTCAAGAAAATATGTTATGTATTTTAAGGTCCCTTCCACCTCTATTCTGTTTCTTTTAAATAAGCCCCGTTTCGCTGTGAACAAAGTCGGTTTCCATAGATCTGCCTCCTGATATATATATATGTAGAATAAATATACAACTAAGCTCTTCTATCAATCCATGCACATCCATAACCTAATTTCAGGCTTCAAGCTCGGATGCTAAAAAGCTCAATCTCTTTTTCAGTTACAAAGATGACAAAGATGAAAACAATCCTATTAGACGAAGACAAGAATCTGTTCTTATTTTTGTACTTGTTTTTACTTTTGGGTGTTTAGAAGGGGTAGAATTTGCAAAGGAGATGGCATGCGGATGCTTTGATAAATTATATCTGTTTTCCAGGGTTTGGATAAGATTGAAAATAATGTTAACCTCGAGAAGATAAAGAATCATACATAGGTTTCAGCCTTACATAATCTGGATTGGCAGATTGAATCTTGACTGAAGTGCGGACCCAACCTATGAGATGTTGTGTTAAAAAATATGATTTGCTCCCCCTGTTCGTTTTAGCTGTTGCAGTTTTGAACAGTGTCTGGATTTGTGATTCTAGAAAAATCTTAGCCCCTGTCTGTGTATATAAGCAAGACAATATGTCTAAGCTGCTGGGAACTATCAGCAACTCTTGACGGTTAATCGTATGGAAGAAGAAAAAAAACTAGGATGAAAAAGTTTCCAAGTGCGCAACAGATTTTCTTTTTCATTTTTCCCTTCCTGAGTGCCTTGGAATACTTTGAAATTTCACTCTCCAAAAAATGCAAAACTAGGAGAGGATATTAGTCAGGAAGCATTGTCACGCTTAAGGTTGCCTTTCGAGAATTTTGCCAGTTTTGAATTTGGATAGGATTTATTGGATAGGTGGATGGGGAAAATAATAAATAAATAGTTTTGCTGTTTACCAGAGGGAGAAATTGAAATTAAAAGCAAGGTAAATGAGCGATCCCTTCTCAACATTCATTGGGGAAAAAATGTAAATACAAAGTTTTTATTTTATTTTTATTTATTTATTTTGATTTGTCAGTCACTTACAAGATAATAGGTATAAGTATAAACATGAGTAAGAATACAGGAAATAGGTATGAATAAATGGGGACAATAAGACAGGGACAGTAGGCACGATGGTACACTTATGTAAGCCCCTTACAGACCTCTTAGGAATGGGGTGAGGTCAATAGTGGATAGTTTAAGGTTAAAGGAGTTGCGGGGGGTGTTAAGAGGATGTAACAACAGAGTCAGGTAGTGCATTCCAGGCATTGACCACTCTGTTGCTGAAGTCGTACTTTCTGCAATCAAGTTTGGAATGGTTTACATTGAGTTTGTATCTGTTGTGTGCTCTTGTATTGTTGTGGTTGAAGCTGCAGTAGTCATTGACTGGTAGGACATTGTAGCAGATAATTTTGCGTACTACGCTTAAGTCCAACCATAGGCGGTGTAGTTCAAGCGTCGGCGTTGTCCAAGGCCAACATTTCAAGCCTGGTGATATAGGGTTTCTATTGCGAGAAGAAGAGTGTAGTACTCTTCTCATGAAATACTTCTGAACTTGCTCAATGGTATTAATGTCTGATATACAGTGCAGATTCCAGGTGGATGAGCTGTATTCGCGTATAGGTCTAGCAAAGGTTTTTGAAATGGATTCAGTGGTGGGGCTGCTGCCAGTTCGGACCAGTTCTAGAGAACCAGTACGAACGACAATCACTT